TGTTCCCAAACTGCATTTCGTCCATTGGGGTGACCCAGACCCCTCATGTCTCAAGAGAGGATAATTGTGAGAAGGGTCTAGGGGTGGGGACGCTCCTAGGGAAGCGTCTGAGGACAGGGTCATTAGCCGAGGTAGAGGGAGTTGTGGAGCATTCCGGGGATAAGCGGGGGGCTGCATAATCGTAGTTGACCGCAAACTAGATTAGAAATCTCTCTCTTCCCTTTGCCACTTACCTTGAATCTTGCCTAAGTGTCAGCCTCGAAGAAAGCATGGAAGGGTCCCTCCGGGCCATCATAAGGAAAGCCCATTACCTTGAGAACCTCACAAACATTACCCTGAGCCGCATCCAAATTGTTTATGAAGGAAGAGCTCAATGAGATGGGAGAAGAGGGGGAGGAGGGGTTGAAAGAAGAGGATGCTCCAAAAGAAGCTTCAAAGTTATGCTCCTCAAGAATAAGAGTGTGGAAGGTGTATCCCAACGAGGAGGGGGGGATACCAGGACATTCAGGCGCAACAAGAGGGAGATGAGGAACAAGGCTTATGCTGGAATAGTGGATTGAGTAGAGACAGGGGTTATAAGGGCAGGGGGGTAAGAAGAGGAAGGGGGGGAGCTGATTTAGGGGGACACGAAATGGCTGCGAGAGGAGGGGGATTAAAGAAGCAAGGGTTAAGAGAATGAGAATGGGGGGAGGGGGAAGAGGGATACGAGGAAGAGGAGACAAAGGGAGAGGGAAAGAGGTGCATAAGGGCTTTAAGCCATGGGGAGGGACAGGTCCCACAAGGAAGGAACCATTTGGGTAGCCAATGTAAGAAGGAGAGTAGGGAAGCAGTGAGAAAGGAAGAATTGGAAGGGGGCAAGGGGGAAAGTGGTATGGAAGAGGGGAAACTGCAGTGCCTTGAGGAGGGGTGGGGTAGGAGTAAGGGAGGGGGCAAGGGATGAGAGCGAAGAGAAAGGGTTAAGATGAGGGGGTGAGTGAGAAAGGTAGGGCTCCAAAGTGTTAGGTTTAAGGAAGAGAGGGGCTAGGATGAGTCTAGAGACCTCGGGAGGCGACTGATGTGGTAGAGCCAACAATAGGGGTTGTTGGTTCGAGGGTGTGCCACAACGATCCATAGTGGGGGAGGTGATGAAGAGGGAAGGGGAGCTTGTAAACCAGGAGAGGGAATAGGAGGCTCTTCAAGGGGCTTGGAGGAGTCTAGGAGGGATTGGCAATCAATGGATAAAGAGGTGAGTTCCGACGACAAGAGGACGGGGTTCTGGGGTGGGATAGAGAGGAGGGAAACGGGCAAAAGCATGGGAAGGAGGTCGCGAGAAAGGGGTGGAGTCAAAAGGTGAGAGCGAGGGGGGAAGATGTGGTACCAACTGGGAGATATGGAACGCGGAAGAGGGAGGTAGGGCAGAGGAAGAGGTGCTGGGAGAGACAGTGAGGAGGGGTGACGAGGCATGGCCATTGGAGATTAGGTTCGAGTCTTGAGGGTGGAAAGGGGAGCAGCAGGAGATCGAATGAAGAGGCTGAGGCGAGTGGATGGTGATTTCGGGGGAGTCAATTCCAAGAGGAGACAAAGTTGCAGGGGAGGACGGAACGCGTCGAGACAAGGATGGAATAAGGAAATGGCTAGGGAAAAGAGTGCGGTCATGTGATCAATGGGAGAGCGGGAGAGGATAGAGAGGGGCATAAAGGAGGGGATGATGAGGACACCTGGGGTACGTGGCAAGGGGAGGGAGAATATACTAAATGAGATGGGGTTGGTGGGTGAAAGGAGCAGGGGTGGAATGATCAGCCAGACTAGGGAGCGGTGGCCATACATGCGAAGAATAGGACGAGTCAACCAAAAGGTGAGAGGGGGGGGGGGATGTGTAAGGGTTGATTGGGGCTTGAGCTGGGGGACTCTTGGGATCCGTCGGATGCGATTGTGGATAGCAATGATTGTTACCATGTGAACAGCGTCTAGACATTGTGGTCTAGGAGCCATGGTCCTTGAGGGAGCGGCTACCATGCACCAGAGATGGCTGGACATGGAGGCTGGAATGGGGAGAGCAGAAGACCAGGAGAGAAAAACACAATAGAACCAGCCTTCCACTTCCAACCAGATGGTGGGAGGGATGAATTGGGGGTCAAGAATTTCGATGAATAATAGGATGGAGACAAAGGGTCGGTATTCTGATGATTTCCAGTGGGTGGCGACAAAAGACCCACAAGCCTCTCCAATAAACTTAAAAGTTTCTAGTTTCCAAGCATTCAGAGGGATGGAGTAAACCGTCAACCATACCCGTTGTTTCCTAAATGACCCCAAATCAGGGAACCAGCATTGGAGTGAAAGATTTGCACCTTTGAGGCGAAGGATTGAGGGTCTTGACGTGCTCGGAATGCACTATTTTCATAGGGGAAAGAGAATAGAATGGAACCATCGGATAGTTTGCAGCATCCAAGGTCAGGTTCCTTCCACACACATTTGCCCCCATTTTTTAATGGCTCTTAAGTCGTCTCGGTGGCGATCGAAAACACCAATAAGGGAAGATAGGAGTTGCTGTTTGGGTTGCAATGTCCTATCAGGCAGGATGGAAATGAGTTTGGGATTGGAGGAGAGGGTATGTGGGGGGAGAGGCGAAAGGGTGGGGGATGGAAGAATGGAGTGGTGGGTGGAGGAAGAAGGGGCTCAGGGAGGAGGAGAAGGATGAGGAGGGAAGTTGGGATGAGAAGTGGGTTTCAGGAGGTGGGCATAAGAGGCGTAGAGTCGTGGGGGGGACATGAGGGAAGTTGTAGCTGAGTTTAAGCTTTTATACTCCTCTCTGTTATATTCCTAAAAAATTGATTTAAAATATTGTAACTCCAATAAATTCAAGCCTTGTAGACACCCAATTTGAAATAGAATAATTTCCTTGATTCCAAAAAACCCTAAATTCCCAGGGAAACTGTAAACCTGAAACATAGGGACTAGTGTTCCAAAAAACGCTGGGTAGCACCTAGGTTACCAGGGGGGGTGGCCACCCAGTGTCTAGGCGGCCACCCAGAACCTGAGTGTAGCCTAGAACCTAGGTTGAAGAAAAGGAGCAGGGGCATGGGAATATAAGTATCCATCATAAAACACTAAAAATCTCATAATCCAAAAAGTTTCAAACCCTTAGACATGCGTAAGAGATAGACTACTAGCACAAACAAAAATAAAATGTAATAGTAACTAGTAAATTAGTAATACAGACACAAGCCATAGTCCATACTCCATAGACCATACTCCATGATCCATAGTTCATATCATTCCATCATATATATTTTCATATAGTAATACAACCATACAAGCAGACACATAAGAGTAGATAGTATAAACTAGAAAATAATAAAAATAAAATATACAGTCCAAGACTCAACACCGAGAGTTAAGTCTCTTCAATCATCATCAGCATCATCATCATTAGGAGTAGGGTTAACCTCATCATATGCATTGAATTCAAGGCCATCATCATCGGAGTCATCTCACTCTTCAACATAACGCCCGTCCTCCTCTGTTTCTTCTGAATCTGCCTCTTCCACCTCTTCTTGTACCCCTCTTACTCCGTGCAGATGAGGCCCTAGGAGTCTTGGCTACTCTACCTAGTGCCTCTTCACCCTTTTCTTGTTTTTTGTATTTCACTGAACTCAAATATTGTTTAATCTCCTCCCTGGTAGTCTCATGAGCATTTGTACATGGGGCAACATCCCCTTAATACCGACAAGGTGTTTCTTGAACCGCTAAATACGCTCATTAGTATCATTTCCACAATAATTATACCTGATACAATTTTTGTCATTCAGATTCCAGAATGTTTGGCTTTTTACGTATTTCTGATTGGTTTTTTACCTATTTTTTGGGGTCTGATTCAAGTTGTTTTTCTTGGCTTCCGTGGGTCTGTCTGCTGGTTTGGATAGATCTAGGAGTGTGAATCCTAATTGGACTAATACCCAACTGAAGGCCTACATAACCCCCCCCCCTCCCCCCCCTGCCTCTCTAGGGTTTGTTAGAAGGCAGACCTTTAAGCTCCTAAGAAAGTAACCAAAAATCCCTTAGGCTAGAGAAGCCCTAGAGCTAGGAAACCCTAGAAAAACCTTAGGTGATCTAATGCTAAGCCAATTCTCTATAACCCTAGTTCTCTACAATCTTCTAAACCCTAATTCATAAGCCTTAGGCACAAAGCAACTCAAAACCCCAGGATGCACATGCCCAAGGTACTTCTCATTCGAGTAGAACTCTAGGTTTGAGGTGAGGACACTTCAACCGCTGGTATAATCTAGGTGACCGACTATAGGTACCGGGCCCAAGGACTGGATTCCAATTAAGTACTTTCTTTTATTTAATTTTCAACTGATTTCCTTAAGTACATTCTTTTATTTAATTTTCAATTGATTTCCTTTCTTTATTTTCTTTTCTTGTTTTCTTGGTTTATCTATGGATTTTGCGTGATTTCAAGCCGGTCTGCCAGCGGTTCTCAGAGACGGATGATCTTTCGAGATTACTATCTATCTTTGAACAGAATTTGACGAATTCCCATGATCTTTACTGATTGCAAATTTAAATCGTTTAAAACATAAATGTGGGGAGGTTTCATCTGATATCACTTCAGAGCAGTAAATAAACCTATTAAAAATGTCGCAATAAACCTGTGAGCAACATTTTACACTATGTTTGTTAGACATGAAAGTTGATGTTTAAGGTTCTGTTCGTGAAGTATATATAATATATGAGTAGGATAACTAACAATATCAGTTAGGTAGAGGAGGTCAATTATTCACAACATCATCAAATTTACAAGCATATCACTAGAAACACAATGCAACCCAACATTTGCCAAAGTTATAAAACCAAAATAGCATTATCAGAAAACATAAAGAAGCGCTATGGTATGAATAGAAATCACTAGGGAGAGAGAGAAATTGGATATAAAGAAAAAATATGACAAATATCAGAAATTCAAATAACCAAAATCCACCATTAATAAGAAACGTGTGATGCAGAGAGAGAGATGGTACCTGATCACGAGTCGGGACGTTCACGACTCGCTCTCGGAGCGAGCTTCCAGGCAACGGAGAGCGACGAATTGTCAAAAACCGACCCTTGCACATAGGGCACCGAGACTCGACCTTCGCCCACTCCATTATACACACAAAGCAAAAATAATGCTCACAACTATCTAGGCGCCCTCTATTCGCCTTGGGCCCTCCAAAAGGCATATCCCACAAATACATTCCTCTGCTGAATCATGTTCCTCTAATTTCTCTTTCGTATTTCCCTGCATGATTTCCACCATCTTCTCCTTTCCTTTACTGGAGGTGGGGCACTGGTCTAGGGTTTGTGTTTCTACGGTTTTTTGCTTCTTTAATGGTGGGGTTTGGAGTCCAGAGGAAAAGCAGGGTGACTGTTCTTCTTCTCGATCTCTAAGGCCGGGGTCGTCCGCCATTGTATCTGGGATAAAACGCTTAACCTGTAAGATGCACCTGCAGGTCCTATCAAAAATATCATCAAAATAACATTACATTCAGAGTAAAGAACGTCCAAAGGACTTTTATTAGGGGTTCCACCCCGCCTTCCTCCAAACTTTCCCCGAGAGTCCATCTCTCTGTAAAGGTAAATGGTTTGATAGGCCTGCAGCCCTATCAAGATAAAGGTAAATCCTCACCTCATCGATTGAAAATTGCAAGTATAAATCCTCATCGATTTGAGGTGAGGCTTTATTTTATTTTTATAAAACTTAGGCCTAATAGAAACCTCATCCCTTTGTAAATGCATAGATGAATTGTTTATCCTAATATGTCCCTAAACACAATGTCGTGTATTTTAATAGAAAACTAAATGTTTAAGTGTACAGGATTGTATCCTATGAGATTATTTATTTTATATTCAAGGACTGGATGTGAAATCAGATGCATTGAAGTGTATCATAATATTCGAGAAATTTTATTTTCAACTTTATGTCAAATGAACGATACATTTCTAACCACCTTATTTTATATCTAATAGTCAATAATGACTGTGATGTCTTCGTACTAAAAAAATAAAAAATAGTCTTGGTCTATATATTTCAAAAATATATTTCAATTTTTCTAGAAAGTCATCTCCTTTCACTAAATTAACTACGGTCTCCTATAATATCTAAAAAAAAATTGTTTCATGTGGGTTGGACCGCATTTCTACAATATGCATTTTCAAGTTATAAAGCATCCATCTTAAAGATGGATGCAAATAGGTGGTCCATCTAAAACAATTGAAACTAATGGTCAAATGTTTTTTTAATATAGTTATTATTTCTAATTTTAAAACTTTATTTTTCCATAGTCATGATCTCCATGTTAGATATTACATGTCCTTAAAAATTAAGTTCAAAAATCCATCTCAAAAATAGATTTTTAAGTGGTAACTCACTTCTACATGGACCCACAAAAACCATGCATGTCTAAATGGGCGCCATCCCAATGTGAAATTGGTTATGTTTCAATTTATTCTCCATATTTGCATGTTCTCTCAATAAATTATGGACATAAATTGTTGCAATAATAAATTAGTCTAAAATACATCTAAACTATAGAGATGAATAACTAAACAGCAACAAAAATGTACCTAATATATCAATTTTTTATATCCTATAATAGCAAAAGGAGAACCTGTAAAAATGAATAATTCGGAAAGGAATTAGAAAATGAGTTAAAATAATATAAAAGTTTTAAACAAACAGTGATTTTTATACATTTGAATTTCAACTCAAGCGACCATATTTAATAACTATACAAAGTCAAGGAAAGCAAAATTATGTTACCCAACAGTATACCTTGTCATCACCGTATGCCAATGAAACTGAAGGGCAAATTCTATCGGATGGTTGTGAGATTAGTTTTGCTTTATGGGGTAGAATGTTAAGCAGTCAAGAAACAACATACCCATAGAATGAGTGGCAATGCTAAAACGGATAGAATTCGAAATGAATACATTCGAGAAAAGTAAGATGTGACACCAATAGACAATAAGATGAGAGAAAATAGAATTAAGTGGGTGGCGGAAAGCTCAAAAAGGACAAGGGGTTGACCTAAAAGGACAATTGGAAGTAGTGAGAAAAACATATGGGGACTTATGGTCTCATTGACGGTATGGCCTTCAATAAAGCAAAATGGCAGACTATGATTCGTGTAGCTGACCCCAATTAATTGGAAAAAGGCTCTGACGATGATGATATAGACAAAAATAAGAAGTAGGAACACAAAAGAGAGAAAAAAGAAGAAGCAAAAAAGCAAGATTAAAAGAAGATAGATTGTAAAAATAATTGTAAAACAAAACCATTATAAAAATAAAAAGAGTCAATGATTTGATAAAAAGATATACAAAAAAGTAGAATTTTACTATGGGTGCAATTTACATGGTGTTGCAACCTTAAACAATCAAAATAAGGCGCACCTCTAAACTTCGTCACACGAAGCAATTTTGGCATAAAAAATTATTAGGATTCTCGAGAATTTGTTTTGATCTCTAATTATAGAATTTTAATCTCCAAAAATAGCTCAAATCAAACAAATTTATAAACATATGAAAATCTGGAAAATTGACATTCCAGATAATGGCTTGCAAAATGCACAATTTTTTAGGAATTGAAGTCATTTAGATGGTATTCCAATATCAAAACAACTTTTTTTTTATGGATTTCTTAGGTGTTTCTTAATTTCGAAATTTAAAACGTAAATCTTACATCAACTTTTTCCTTTTTACTATTGCCTCGTAAAAGACTTTGTGCATGCGATGCCCTGGATGTGGTGCTACAACCGGTCGTCTAAAACATTTGGACATTCACGATATTTAATGATAATAAGATCTAAGAACCTTACTAAAATGGACTATCTAGGGCTAAAGAAAAAGCTTTCAAAGGATGCGTTTTTAATTTTTATTTTTTATTTTTAATTGTTAATGAAAAGAGTGTATATTTAAAAATTAGAAAAGTTTATATAAAACCAAGGCTCTAAATGATCAAATTAGAACCCACATCAAAATTTTCACTAGAAGAGGTTGTTTTGATGTCCAAATATCCTCAAATTGATCATCTTGACATCAAGTTGCATAGATATGAGAAAAAAAGGGATTTCAAGTTTTGAAAATAATGCATTTTTGGACCATCAATTTTCAAGATTTTCAAATTTTCATAGATCTGTTCGATCTACACTATTTTTTAAGCTTTAAATTTTATAATTAAAGACGAAAATATATTTTAAAGCTATCACAAAGATTTCTAGTATTGAAACCATATTTCTTGACATTATTTGAAGGTGCTCTTTATTTTGTTTGTTTAGAGCTTTGGCTCTATACAAACGAAGCCATTGAAAGTTAAGATCAAACAAATGGTCCTAACATAGTTTTTTAAGATTGTTTCATTATATTATTATAAAATCATTGCATTAAATTATTATAGAACTATTGTTTATATATATATATATATATATATATATCAGCTGGACTAGATCGCGATCGAGGTCGACCAAAAGGTAGTAATTTGAGTATCATTTGATTTAGTTATTATTTAATTGAAATATGAAGGCGTTTAATAGAAGAAAAAAGTTTATATAAAGTTGAAACCTTAAATTGTAGAATTAAGGTGTACCCCAAAAATATTTTCGCAAAAAGCTATTTTGACATTGGAAAACCATCTAAATTGGTCATGTCAACATTGAGATGAATGGATATGGAAAAAAAAAAAGGTTTTAAAGTCTAAAAAGTAGTACATCTTGCAACACATTATTTTAACCATCTACTTTCAATATTTTCATATTTTTATAGATCTATTTAAGTCAAACATTTATAAAATTTAAATTTTTATTATTGGAGATGAAAATGGGAACCTTTTCTTTTTGGGGTAATTCACAAGGGAAGGTACCATTTTTTTTTTTATGCAGTCAGTGGAATATAAGCCACCGTGCAACTGACGTATGCATCAAGCCCTTTCCTGCATCATGCAAACCTGATGCTTGCTTAAATGAAAAGCTAATCTGGCACTTTCAATTTCTCCACCATTTTTAGCTTTTGTCTTTCCCAAATTTAGAAGTCTCGGAGGAAATAGAAAGCGTGTTGATGGAAACAGATACACACTACATTTCTAATACAGTCTGTAAGCCTCGAAATAATAATGATAATAATAGATGCTTTTATTTTTTGGGCTTTGGTGTATCTAAAAATTAATGTATAGATAGATACAAGGTAAAATGGTAAGAGGAGAGAAGAGAAGAGAGTAAAAAACAAGGAGGTGACAAAGGGCAGTATAGTGAGATGAGAAAGAGCCATTGCACACGGTGAGAGAATGTCCACAGTATAAGCACCTCTGTGTTCGCTCTTATGTGTGTGAGAGAGAATAGAAGCACCTCTGTGTTGTGTTTGACAGGCAGGAGAAGGAGAAGGGGTATGTGTGATCAACCGACCTCTCTCTTGCCTAGTGAAGATTGTGGTGATATCGAAACCCGAATCAATGGAAGCAGATCAATCCTCGATTCCAACTCGGACCTCGGTTCCTGATATGGAAGCACCCCATGTCCTCATCTTCCCCTTCCCCACCCCGGGCCATGTCCGGCCACTCTTTTTGCTTGCTGCCGCTCTTGCGTCCCGTGGCGTCCGCATAACCATCCTTGCCCTCCCCTCCCTCCCCTCTCTCTCTTCCTTCTTTTCCTCTGCATCCTCTTCCTCACTCCCCATCTCCTCTGTGTGTCTCCCCTCTCCTCCCCCCCACCCCGACACTCTCTCTGCCATCATTCACTCTCTCTCTTTGCTTGCCGACCCAATCCGAGAACTCATCCTTGGCCTCCCCCATACCCCCACTGCTCTCATCTCCGACATATTCCTTGGCTTTACAGAATCCGTTGCTCGCTCGCTCGCTCGCTCTCCATCCCCCGCCTCACCTTCTACACCTGCAGCGCCTTCGTCATCTCCATTCTGCATTCCTTGTGGCTCAATGACACTCCGGAGCCCGAGCCCATTAAATCCATCACGGAGGCCCACGGTCCCATCCCCTGCTCTGCCCGATTAACGATCTCAGACATCCCAGGTGCCCCTACTTTCCCCTTTGGTCACCTCTCTCTCCTATTTCGAACCTACAAAAAGCAAGCCCAAAAGGCCGCGCAGTCTGGCGAACATGACCCTGCTTGGGTTTCAGTCAGGGAGTGCTTCCTTTCCAACATCTCTAGCTATGGCAGCGTGTTCAACTCGTTCATGGAAGCAGAAGCCGAATACTTGCTACACTTGAAGTCATCGAGGAGCGGCGGAAACATCTGGGCAGTTGGCCCTGTGCACCTCCTCCCTCAGGTACAAACAGTGACCGCGAGGAGCTGGGCAGAGGAATGGCTCGAGGGTCACGCAAAAGGCTCGGTCATCTATGTGTGCTTCGGCACGCAGGCCACGCTGAGCAGTCAACAAGTGGACACAATTGCAGAGGGGCTCAAAGCCAGTGGGGTACCATTCCTCTGGGCAATGCCAGAGGAATGGTTGGTGCCTTCAGAACTCGAGCTCGAGCGGGCACACACTTTGCTGTCACCTGTGGTTGGGCTGCACAAGCTCGCATCTTGGGCCATGGGGCAGTGGCTGCGTTCCTTACACACTGTGGCTGGAACTCAATGCTGGAGGGCCTCGTGGCCGGAGTTCCAATGGTTGGTTTGCCCATGGGCGCCGATCAATACCTCAATGCACGACTGTTAGTCGATGGGCTGGGGGCCGGCACAATGGCATGCGACTACGGCACTGTGCTGAACCCAGGTTCATTGGCTCGAGCCGTGACTCTGGTTATGGAGCCCGGGTCCAAAGAAAGGGCTCGAGCCAGGGCTTGTCGAGCCCTGGTCCCAGGAGGTAGCTCGAGGGCCCAATTGGAGAACTTGGTGGAGGATTTGCAAAGGCTTCATGCTTCTGGGGTCTAGTAGTAAACCTAAGGCTCCACTACTTTATTTTTTTATTATTCATTATATGAATAATCGAGTCCCCAGTATGTGAGTTAATGTAGTGTCATGCTACAATTCCTTAGTGCCACTTATTTTAGTCAGTGTAGGTGTAGCTAAAAAATACTAATAACAAGGCACAGGATTTGTGAAAAAATAAATATTTTTTCTTATTTTTTTGGGTTGATCAGTGGAGAATATAGGCCGCTACCCGTTTTCAGAATAATTAGCTGTTTACAAATGTGACAGTGGGAATGAAAATCTAGACCGGTAGATGAGGCTCAAGTGATGCTACCGCCACGACCTCAATCCCATTTCCAAATATCTTTTTTCATATGCAGTTATACTCATAGCCCCCTTCCTTTTTCTTTTTTTTGTCTTTTTTTTTAATTTTCCAAAAATGCTCCCACTTAGGTTCGAAGTGACAATGAAAAAGTCTGAATTCAATGAAATACTTGCACTTCACTTCTTAAAGGTCCGAAGTTGAGTACTTCAATTAATACTTCAATTGTCCAAATTGTTAACTAATCATGCCAGTCCAACTTATCCGTTTCAACCCACATGTCAAGCACCTAGTATAGGGATTTCAATGATCCGTTAATTCTCAAAGCATCTACACACTCTGAGATCATCATCATCAGAGGTCATAGCCTTATCCCAACTATTTGGGGTTGCCTACACAAATCATGTTCCGCCATTTTGCTCTATTAAGGGTCATGCTCTCACTAAGATTATAAGTCCTTTTATCTTTTCCCACTACTTCCATCCATATATTTTTAGCCTTTTCCTAGCCATTTTAGCGCCTTCCACTTGAAACAAATCACACCTCCTAACTAGTGCCCTATTGGGTCTACGTTGCATATAGGATGCCCACCTAAATCTAATTTTTCTCTTCTTATCACCAATTAAAGCCACACCTAAGTTCCATCGAATGTACTCATTTCGAATTATATCCTTTCAGGTCATGTTAGTTATCCATCTCAACATCATCATCTCTGCTATACTCATTCCGTGGGTATATTGTTTCTTTCCAATCCAACATTCCATTCCATAAAGCAAATTTGGTCTCACAGTTATCCTATATAATTTTTTCTTCAACTTTATTGGTATACGACAATCACATATATCTCTATTTCGCCCACCGAGCTCTAATTATATGTGTGACATCTTCCTCAATCTTTCTATTTTCTTGAATTTTCAACCCAAGGTATCGAAAATATTCTCGTTTAGGTATTTATTGGCGATCAATCTTAACTACTTCCTTGTTTCAACAATTAATATTACTAAACTTGCATTCTATATGTTTTAGCCCGGCTAATTTTATATCTTGAGATTCTAGAGCATCCCTCCAATGTTCTAAGTATGCATTGACGTCACTTCTAGTCTCATTGATCAAAACTATATAAGATTGGGTTATACATATAAAAGACAAATTATCTAGATGAAAGCTTCAACTTACTTTGAACTTTGAAGGTCCAAAGTGAAATCACTTCGTACACTTCTTTAAAAAATGTCCGAAGTCAAGAATCTCGTCAATTTGGATCATCAAGACCCGAATTAAGACTATTTTGGAAAAAACTTAAAATATAAGAAAAAAGATCCGTGTAAAATACAAAAAAAATTGAAATTATAATAGCAGAAACTTACATAAATATGGGCATAAATTTCTCTATTTCAAAACAGTCACGTCATTTGGCCATAGTGCCATCTATTGAACTAGCCCCTGCTACCACTGTATGAGGTGAAAGACGAGCCAAGAGGCAACATACCTGAGTTCATGAGCTGCGCTCATCCTTGTCGCTGCCATGTTAGATTTGGGTAATAACAGCTAGCTTTATAACTTACTATTTACTTCAAGCTTTTTCATCTCGTGATAATATTTCGAGGGATTTACGTACAGATTGCAAAATTATAGTTAAAATACAAAATACTCCATTGTAGAAATTATAAACAAGGTCGATTGATCTATTTTTTTTTTTTTTTTTGAAAATTACCCCTCGGTCAACCCCAATTTTAATTTATTTTTCTTTTTAGTTTTTTTATTTTTTTCGTTATTAAGAAATTGCCTCAAGCTTTAAGGCACTGCCTTACTAATGAAAAAAAAAAAATTTAAAAAATAAAATTCAGGTTGACCAAAGGGGAGTTTTGAAAAAATAAAAAAAGTAGATTGATCTACATTCTTTGTAATTTCTCTGTATACGTCGAGCAATTTGTATTTTACCTAAAATTTTGCAAAACTATGGTATAAGAAAGTCACACTCGCGTTTTTGTAAAAATAGGCAAATAAGAGTATGTCATAAAATTCAAAAATTATTCTTTTGAATTCGATCGTGGTCACATCCTCAACCATCCGACTTCATTTCTAATAGCTAAATGTCATTGGGATCATTTTTTACCAAAAGTAAAAGGTGGCGTGTCCTTCCTTCAAAATCCATGCCATTTTCAGAGCTGCCCGTAGTCTTGGAAATAAAATATCACAACATGTGAACTTCAATTATAAGGAACAGAGTCAAAAAATAGGTTTTTTTTTTTTCATCTAAGGTCTAAACTTCTATTTTCACTTAACGCCTTCAAAAGCCACTAACGATTAAAAAAATAGTTTTTTTTCTGTCATGTTCAATAATTGTTTCATTGTATGCTACCACCGTAGAAGTTTCTACAAGATTATATGCCCTCATGCAAGCATATCATATGTTCACTCCCTTTAGGTAAAATCCTACTTGAGAGTATCTTTAGGAGTTGGTTAATTTTTGTTGAAAAATGTTTTCTCTAAAAATTATGTCAATATTTAGAAAGATTTCTTCTTTAAAAAGAAACCATCATTTCTTCTAGTGAGAAAAAGAGGGAAGTGGAAATGGGGTTGAGGTCCACCACTTGAGCTTCAGGTATGGGTCTTGGTTTTTATTGCCACTGACGTTAAAAAACTACTAACTATTTGAAAAAAAAAAAATGGTTTTTATTGCCACTGACGTTAAAAAACTACTAACAGAAGAAACGGCCAACACTCAAATTAATCCTAATCACCACTAAATGAAAACAAGAACCTAAAAGTAAGCCAACACTCAAATTAATCCTAATCACCACTAAATGAAAACAAGAACCTAAAAGTAAAAAGGCCTATAGAGAGCTGAGAGAGAGAGATTAATGAAGAATGAGTAAAACGACTAAATTCAATACGTTAAAAAGGCCTATAGAGAGCTGAGAGAGAGAGATTAATGAAGAATGAGTAAAACGACTAAATTCAATACGTTGAGATTATGAACCCTCTTAGACGTGGAAATAAGAATCCTAAATAAAAATCTACCGGGATGATTTATTTAATAAGCTAGAAAGCAAGTACAAACCACTATGCGAACCTGACAAATAAATGAATAACAAAACGAATTCCACAATATTTTCAATTTGAATGAACTCTCTCTCACTCTAGTCACTCAATTTTTTTAATATTGAAATGGAAGTTTGGGGAAAGTTTTACTACCTAATACAACCCACCTCCTTTACTTAAGAATGAGATGAAAAAGTTTAATGTCCTCATCCTTCTTGGACCGACAATTTCTTAAATATTTTGACTGCAATTATATGTGATAAAGCACAACACACACTTTAAAAGCAATGCACAGCTAAGAAAAACAATGCACCTCAGGTCATGGATATATTTGTAATATTATGATTTTGGGATTGTCTATAAAGAGATCATTTATCTTTTGTACATAGAGGAACAATTATTTTTATTCTTTAAATTTCAGTATGAATGGTTGTTAGAGTATCATTAAATAGACACACAATTCAAAAAAAAAAATCTCGGACCTCCTGACTCACATCAAGCCATCCAATTTGGCATCTAATGAGTGAGCTTCATAAACAAAAGATAAATGGTCTTTTTATAGACAATCCCTATGGTAATATCTAGTCGTATAACTATGGACTGACCAAGCATGATAAAAACATGGTTCCCTTCTTTCTTTTCTTTGGTATGTCAGGATGAGGATTGATCTTGGTATGCAGTGCAATTGTCAATCCACATATAGAATTCAATGTTGATATGTGTTTTCCTCGTAAGACAATTAAAGGTGATTTTGGAACTAAAATTTCGCAACTCAGTCATCTCAATCACCACAATCATGAATTTGATAAGAAAAAATTGGACTTTCTTTTTTACGGATCATCAAACCTGCACTATATTTTGAGCTACAAAATCATGAATTTGATATGAAAATGCATCTAAGGTGACTTAATGTGCTTCATATCAACAATGAATCTCGAATATGCATTTTTGAAAGGGAAGGGCATCTGATTAGGACCTCATTAAAATTTTCCAACTACTTTCTCCTGCACTCAAACCGTTACGAGTTACGACACGTTAAAGGGCCTCACCAGTCATGATTCCTGATTTCCCTATTTTTGAGCCTTGATTCAACTAGCATTTTCCCATGGAACAAGAGTTTTCTGTTTTGTAAGATCAATCTTGGGAATTTAAATCCCAAAATGATGGAACCCATTCGATCATTTACTTCAAAAACTTGCTCCATTAGATCCCAACAAAATTAAATTGGATCATTTCCTTTAGAGACTTATCCATTTGCCAAAGTGATTAGTTTTGCTCCATTGAATTACAATGAAATTAAGAACTAGTTTGGAACCTCCCATGACTTTATTAAGAGATAGGCGAAAGTGTTATTCTTTTTTGTTATATATTTTCCAGTGGGCTTTTTCACGATAACACAGTTCACTTCGAATAGCATGGGGCAGAGAAACCAGAAATGGGAGTACCCATGATTAGCTGGACCTGATCAAAAGTTGCATTATATTATTTCAAATCATCAGGGAAGAGAAACTGAAATATTTTCAATAAATAATCCATCCAAACTAGTTTTATCAGTAGATCACTTATTTTAAGAAACTTAGTCATTTGGCCGAGCGTAACCGGGTGAGGTCGACTCGATCCAGGTAAGGGTTTGGATATATCAAAAACTGTATTTATG